AATGCCTAGGGCCGGTCAGTTCGATGATGATATATAAAGGCCGTTGCCCTTTCTTTCTCAGAAAGAAGGGGGGAGGGGGGGGGGAAGGGAACAAAAAGAAGGGGAGCAAGCGGGCAAGCGGCCTAGCTCAGTTGTTAAGGCATGAAAGTAGCATTCAGGAGGTCGTGAGCTCCCCTCCCTTACCTGCCTCGGCACACTTGGTTCTACCAGATAGAGCTACCCTGTTGGCCCAACCCAGTCAGCATTAGCAGGGCCTTCTGTGTTTGTAGGTGGAGGAGGCAGAGAGGGAAGGTACACAATTGGAAACCTATGCTCAGCAGAGTCAGCACCACAGTCTTGAACCGAATAGAACGTCCGGTCAGTGGCTATAGCTGTATTTCGGGCGACTGTAGTGTAGATACAGCTATAGCAAGGGGTGTTCTATTCGGGTGAAGACGGTAGTGCTACCGACTGACAACCTGCTGGTATTGCCCGCCCAGTCCTGTGGGGGGTTCATATGGGCTAGTGCAACTTGACGGTCTCATCATATGGGAAGGGGTGTAGATGGCAGTCCTGGAGGCCGCAAGGGCCAGGTCATGATATTCAATAGAGGAATTAAGCCGACAAAACAGGCATTATATGCTATAGAAACTGGGGGGGGAAAAAAACTTCAAAACACGAAGGGAAAAAAAAAGGCCTGAGAAGAAACGCCATTATGCGACAACCCGGCCCATGGGGATGAATGGTGCACACATGTAACTGTTATTAAACAGAACATGAGTTAAAGTCCTGACTGAATACAATAATGTTAGCGGCGACCCCCTTCAGCAAAAATAAGAACAAAAACAGACAGCCCCCATGCATCATACATCTGGACCCATGAACGTGGACCTGAAGCGAAAAAGAAGAGAAAAAGAAAAGGCAGAGGTAAAAGAAAAACAACCTGTCCCTAGATGGAGAGAAGGGCCACTTCAAGCTTTCCATTTCTGTGCATTGGCTTCATTCAACCCGAGAGGTTCACTTACTTTTTCTACTCTTTCCTTCTATTTTGTATTTTATCTCCTTCTATTCAGGGAGAGGATTAGCTCTCCATCAGGCCCGTCTCCCCCTTTCCCCTCATTTTGCAACAGTCGCTGCTGTGTTGCAGATACATTTAATTTTTCATCAATAAATCAGAATTGAAACAAGTCCCACAGTGTCACACTTTCAGTTTCAATAGGGCAAGAAAAAACATGTGCGGGCAACAAAATCGGGTGCGGAGTTTGAAAAGGGCGATATGGGTAAAAACAGCTGTGGCCCACATGCGATTTTGTTGCCCTTTTCACACTCGGCACGCGAGTTCGTTGCTCTTTTCAAACTCGGCGCGCGGGTAAAAACGTGATTTTGTCGCTTGTTTGAACTCGGTGCACGAGTTTGTTGCGAGTGTGTGATTCCGTTGCCCTTTTCAAACTTGTTTGTGCGACAACTGAACTTACCCCATAAGAATTTCTTAATTTTTTTCAAAGTGATAATTAATATTATCATGGAGGCCAAAAGACAGCAAGAGTTCTGGCAAAGCAGCAGGGCTATGGCCGTCGCCGCACGGGACACGAAACGAAAAATGAAACGAGTGCATCTTTCTGCAGAAAATGGCCAGGTTCATCGGTTTGCTATAAATAGTAACGAGTGTATTTTTCCACCTTTCGTGGGCAGATGCACTCGATTCGTTTTCGTTTCGTGTGCCGTGCGGCGAGACCCTATGACAGATGGTATGAAGACCCTGAGGCATTTACGGCAATTTTACGAATCACATTGAAACCACCATAATCTTGTGTGAGAGCATGCCTTTCTCATCACACGTCGTATACTTAAAAAAGCGGACATGTCTGATTTCCTTCATGTTAAGTTTTCGGAAGCTAAGTTCAATAAGAATAGGGTGGAAAGTCGATTTTGCATGGCCGTCAAATTCTGTAATTCCAGTCCATTGTGCAAGCAATACGAGCGAGAGCGACAACAGACAGAAATCCACGTTGCAAAATCACGAAGTAGTCCAGATAGTCATATAGCAAGCAGAGAGCACAATGCACCAAGATACCATCCAAATAAGAACAAACTTGTATGTCAATGTCGACGCTCTCTGGCCACATCAACGCAGTATCCAATGCCGCTCCTACTGTCTGGCGCCCAGCGCCCAACCTATACTACTCAGCCTATCTACCCCTCTCAACGTTCATGCAACTGGATCATATCGAAGTTGAAGACCAACGTACGTGACGCCATTACCAATGGAGACCGCCAGCATACACCAGATACGTTATCTCTCCCCCCCTCATCACACCCTGTCTCCCCTCAGCAATGCGCCTCCTACCCGAAGACCACCTTCGCCATCACCTGTCACGGCACGCTCAGCCCGGCTATGGCCACCGTGCGCCCACTGCCACCGCAGCGCCCTCTCACCTCTCTGCGCCCGCGTGCGCCATGGTTGGCTAGCGCTATCGCAGCAGCACTTGGCAATGCAGCAGCGTGGCCGCTATGCCTGCCTAGGCGAGAATGCCCCCACCTGGGCAGGGCACTTTCCTTTGTGGAAAGTGTGGCCCTGTATCTGGTTGCGTGGGCTGGCTGGGCAAGTTTCCAGTAGCTTCCAGTTGGGCCCCAGTGTCTGCGCCCAGGCCCACCTTTGCTGTTACGGGCCTGGGCCCTTTACAGTTGGGCACGTCCAGGCAGCCCTCCAGGCTCCAAGTGTTTGCCGCATTCTCATTGGCTAGCGGTAGATGTGTGACGACAATGCTGCATTCTCATTGGCCCGCCGCCTCTGCGTGATGTGTCAGCCTCCCACTGCATGTGCCCAGGGCACAACCACTTGAGCCCTGGGCTCAACTGTACAGCGCAGCTGTTGCTTCTGGAAGGAGAGCCACAGAAACCATTTGAGCCCTGGGCTCAACTGTACAGCGCAGCTGTTGCTGCTGGAAGGAGCCACAGAAGGCTCACGATGATCTGTAACCAACTGGCGCGCGGCAACTGTCTGATACCCACATACGAAAAATGTTGAAAATAGGCCTTTTGGCGATGTACAGGCCCGCCTTCACTTAGGGCGGGCACGAGGCTTGCTGGGGGCCACAGCCCTGAACATTTGCATGCCCAAGAAGGGCCTCGCGAGCGTTCATCCCTCGGAATTGGGTGCCAGGGCAGACCACACACATGACCTCAGGCTGTCTGGGATCATTCTGACAGTAGTTGCAAGGGGATTTCGCGATTCCCCAAGGTGGGCCAATGCCTACGGAGGTTGGTTTAAAACACCAGTACCTCCCAGCCTCCTTTTCCGAAGGCGGACTTTCCCTGGGTGCCAAATAAACCCGAATGGCCACATGGCCAGACTATCAGGGCCGTCCAATCAGATCAAACCGGGCATGTAAAAACACCAATATTTTTCTTTTGGTGTCAGTAGAGCTTTCTGCGCAGTTCAATAGCAGTCCAAATCCAGGCTCTCTTTCGTTTTTCAGTGTTGCTTTATTGGGGTTGAAAGAAGTTTAAAGGGGGTTCTATTAGTCTGATTAATTTTCAACTTTTTGTTCCAATTTGTTGCATATTTCTTGTGCAATCAAAGAAGCTTTTTGATAAACAGAAGCTACTTTCAACAGCCTAATCACTGTATTGAGTTTCTGCTTGCCTAAATAATAGAGATTTCTAAAATGCAAACGTAACAACCAGGCGCAATGCACACATAACTCTCTTTCTGACAAACAAAGCCTACTAAACCACCAGTACACCCGTGCCTGGAGGTGCTCCACTGCACACCAAGCTTTGCCGAGCTGCCAGAGGCACACTTCTTTTCTTTTTTAGCCAGCGCCGCAGCCATTGTGGTCCGTTTAGGCCCAAGGCGCGATGTTTTCGGAGTAGGTGGCGCAACATTCCAGCGAGCCTGGGCCCGTGTACTCGCAGTCTAAAGCTGAAGCCGAATCGAATTTCAATCCATTTTTATAATATATTGCGTGCTTTATCGACCTGCTCGATTTGATAGTAAAGTAGAACATAGGCATCCATACAGTACTCCTAATTTGAAGTCTTGATTACTGACGCTGGAGCGAAGTGTGTGCACAACTTTGCAGTTCGCAGGTCTAGAATTGTTAGATGATTGAACGCAAACAGGGGGTGGATAAGCCTTCTCAGTTTTAGGCTTTTAGCCCTTTTACCGACGAGGAGTGTGACATAGGTGTGAGTCTTTTTTTTTTTTTTTTTTTTTTTTTTAACGAGTTTCTTGGAGTGACATGCCACTAACTTAAAGCAAAAAAAAAGATAACATTTACCTCTTAAAGACTGTGCAATAATAAGCTTGTTGTCATTTAAATGAAATTAAATCTTAAAAGAAGGGAATGCAGCAGCATACACCGGACGAATCAAGACCAACCAGATTGAGCGACTGTCCCAAACATAGGCGTAACCAGAGCAACCACACCAAGCCAAGCCAGGCTCATCCTAGCTCCAATGAGACTAACTAAACCTGACCCAAAACAAACCCAGATCTATTTAATTAACCTCACAAAGCACAGGAATCCAGAATAACCAAGCCCAAACCAAATAAATCCAGCTAGCCCCAGATACAGGCAGACATAACTACACCAGGTCATACCCAGATCTAAATGGGTCAATCAAGGTCAAGCCACACCAGTTCAGATTCAAATTAAACCAATTTAAGCACTCAGAGGAGGGGGTAATGGTACAGAGAAGGTAAGTACAGCAGATATGTCTATGGACATATAATTACGTAGGTTATATATTACTATAGATGATGTTTTCAAGGAAAGGATACGAGCGCCCAACATTTAGGTTATGCCAGGAATCACAGCTTTTACCCTTGACCACAGTCTAATATGAGACAAGGGGAAAGGCAGAGTGGTAGGTATGAGCATGTACAAAGTGAGGAGGAGGGAAGCAGCGAGGATTTTGCTGCAAAAAAATGGGAAGGCGATTGCTATTTCTGGGAGAGTATTGACGGGGGATGCCTGGGAGAGGCTTTGAGTTCTGAATCACACTGATTTACTCACCACGACTGCAAATACTTGAGTGTGTCAACAATAATAGCCACCGCTGCAACCTGGAGATCCCCAAAGTGCTCCCACCATGTCCGCCATCGCAACTGTTGTTGTTATTTCGTGCGCCAAGGAGACCCTGCGTCGTAGTAATCCTCGCCCTGCTTGTTTGTTGATTCGCTGCAGCCGCCAGAGAAGGGTCTGAGTTGCCATGACATCTAGGAATGCTCTCCCTTCCAGCCATTACCATATCCGTCATAGCCGGTGGTGGTTGGGACGACACCGAGTCATCATCACTGTCACCTTGTTGCTTCACCGTTGGAATCCCCCCCACCCTCTTTTCCACCATGAGATCGTGAAGACCTCCTTCCCGCATATCCCACTGAGAGCCAGCTGCTTTTCCAGGCAACGAAGTCGCCATCGTCTTCCTGCCTGATCCCAGAGTTCGTCGTCTTTTCTCACTCATGCTGGTCGCACACAGGGAAGGCAGTGATGTTAAATACATTTCATCGAAGTCATCAGGATCTGTAGCCCTGGGCTGCTTAAACGTCTCAAAAGAAGATGCACATGTGGTCTGCGGTGGAACAGTACAGATCGATTGATCACATTTTTCAGGAACGCCCACAGCATTTGTCAAACTCCCGGTCCCGGAGACGCAAACTTGCCCCGTTGGTTGCCTTTCCTCCTGCAACCCCGAGGTTGATTGCGGATAACCATGATCCTTGCTGCACATCTCCCTTTCCAAAACCGTCTGCGGATTTCTCAGCGACATCTCAACACCCTTCAACCCTGCAACACCCCGCTCCCACACATCCGCCTCACATCCTCCGCGATCCTCATTAGTTCCCAGCGCATCGCTGTCATGGTCGCAGTTCTGCATACTATCTGCACCATTGTTATCAGGAGGAGTACAAGATATTGTCCGAGGAGATCTCAAATCCTTTTCTTTTCCTCCTCCTCCTCCTCCTCTGCCTGCTGCTGCGGCCAGGTCTCCATCAGCAGTCTCCCTTCCTTCATTCTCTTGGACACAGCAGCTATCATGTGTGCAAACTGCTTCAAGGGTGTTGCTCGGGTGGAAATCTCCTTGCTCTTCCCCCAGTGGAAGAGGCGCATTGGATGATTCTGTCAGCGCATCGGTAGACCTCGCAGCCCCTTCCTTGTCAACAAGCCTGTCGTCATCCGTATGTGAATTATCCTCTCCTATGCCTGCATTGGCAAAGACTACTCCCCAGGACATTTGTGAACCAGCTTGCGAAAGAGGCGACATGGAATGGTGCCGGAAATCAGGTCCTTGTTGCTGCCTTATTCAGCGCAAAACCTCCTCCCTGCAACAGCACAGCTGCTCCTCCCAAGTCATGTCACGATTACCAGCGGTTTGTAAATGACCCCGCTTTCTTTGCTCGTCTAGTGCTTGGGATTTCTCTAGAGATCCCTCGCGGGCTTTCTCCAGAGAATGCTGTGCGCTATGATTCCACCCAGCATGCTAGAGCAAACACTACTTCATAACGACCATCCCTCAGAAAGGCATGTCCTCCCTCACACACCCCGTCCCCGACTCTTCCAATGTAAGCCATCATTTCCTGTTAACAACTGAAAACAACGGGCCACAATAACATGCAGCTTTGTCAATTGCAAGATTACCTGACCTTATGGAGGGAAGCAGCAAGAATCCAACACATCCCCAGGCAACAAGCACTCTTTTTTTTTTCTTTTTTTTTCCCCCTTAATTAAGGGCCATGGCCTTGAGATATCATCATCCAACTAATTCAGAATAATTCTAGTATTTTTACTCACCTGCTTCCAGTGGAGTTCGAACTCAGGTCTGTATCTCCAGACCGTTGCCTTTCTTTAAGGGGGGAAACAGGTCAGTAATTCAGACCTGAGCTCCAACTGTTGAGTAGTGTTGAGATACAGACCTGAGTTCGAACTCCCCTGGATACAAAAATGAGTAAAACAGGTCAGTAATTCAATTCTGAATTACCTAGCGCCGGCCAGTTCCAACTTAGGTCTGAATTACTCAGGTCTGTATTTTACTCATTTTTGTGTCCAGGGGAGTTCGAACTCAGCACCTGGTCTGTATTTCAACATTTCATCCGTTCAGGGGTGTACCAACTGAGCTCCTAGGCCAGCTCTGGTTTTAGCACGTTCTTTGGCGAAAACAAAGTGCGAGGATCAGGGTCCTCGGTAGGCCTATGGGGCCCTGTTTGCAGCATTACCCGCCCTAAGTGAAGGCGGAAGTGCCCGCCCTAAGTGAAGACGGCCCTGGCTTTTTGCAAGAGGCCCTCGACTGTCAATTTCATATTTGGGGTCCAGGCAGTTGCGACGCGCCAGTTGGTTGAAAGAAACACAGGCCGAGCAACAAAGACATTTTCACGGCCTTCCGGGCCTTTCCAAAGAATGCAGGCCCTATGCGTGATTCGCAGCCTGATACAGAGACAGTTGGGCGCCCAACCGAACTAGGCCCAGCAGCCCAGTAGCTGCTGCATCCAGGCAGCCTCCTGGGGCCTTCCGGAAGCTTCTGGGCCCAGGCCAGTGCAGCCAGGCTGAGCGAGCAGGCCAACTCTTTCCATAAAGGAAAGAGCTCTGCCCTGGCTGCCTCATTCAAGCACTCGCATGCTGGCGGCAGCGCTGCTGGAGCAAAGGCTCGCGGCTGCTGGCTGGCGCTGAGAGGCGAGGTGCAGCACGTGCGGTTGTGCAGGGAAGAAGGGCGCTGCTGAGGGCAGCGCCATAGCCAGCCTTCATAGCGGGCTGGGCTTGGACTACAGTGAGGCGCAGGGGTGGTCTTCGGGTGAAACAGAGGACAGATGTGGGTGTAGTAGGGGATAGGTGAAGGATGATGATGATGATGATGATGATGATGATGATGATGATGATGATGATGATGATGATGTGAGGGCACATACCTTATATTGGTGATGGTCTGCATGGGCGACATCTTCAAGTACTTCGGCCTGCCGCTGATGTCAACAGTTGCATTGTCATTTCGTAGTCTGTAGTAGCTGTGTATGAGTAGGCTGGGCGCCAAGTGTGAGTGTGAAGGAACTGGACTCTTGTGTCGAGGGGAGAGAGTATGCTCTCCATGAACATTGGTTTTCAGTGCTACGAACCTCCGTTGGTGTATTATTGGTACAATGCTGCTCTCTGGACACGGTGTGACTATTTGGCTTTCAATGTGATGGTGTGATCTGGAATTGTCATCTCGCTATTGCTTATTTTCCTTGCAATTTGGTATCAGAGCTGGTTCATATTGCGCTTCATTGGTTCTTCGCAATAGCTATTGGTGCTTCGCATGAGGTGTGGGGCAGTGATGAGGCATTGGCGTTGAACATTGGGCGGCCCAGGGTAGAGTGGGCGCGCCAGGGAGCTATGTGGTGACATACGGGATGTATGCTGGATGATGAGAGCTCGCTGATGTGGCATATTACGCCGAGGTGGAACCGCATTCTGCTGTTGGTTGTGCTGAGGCAAAGACCGGTCATCATAACTGCACATCAGGTTGCCGGTGAGAAATCTGTGGTGGAGGGCAGCATTTATTAGGTACGTTGCTCTCTTCCTTATCTACCCTCTTCATCTCTTCTTACCGTGAGGAAGTGAGTTCTGTCTTGAGGGTCCTCTCGATGTGAGGTGTCCCAAGCGCTCAACCTTGAGAGTCGACAGTCTTCCTGGGCAGCAAGCTGGTGGGAGACGGGCGAAGCCTCTGAAGGGCCCTGGACGAAGCACTCGGGTCATGGTCACCCCGCTGGGACTAGTACACGCATGCTTTGCCGCAAGTCCTTGGTTCTGCTGCTTGCGCAATAGAGGTCATGCAGGGCATGCCAGCCCTTTGGGACAGACGCTTTCCAGACCGTCTGCTCAGGACGTTGACACAAAGTGACCACTCAAGAAGGATACAGGGGGAGGGGGGATTCCGGTAACTGTTGGCGGTGGCAATCAACAGACAATCTGCCATCAAGCATACACCTCCAGCAGGAGATGTTATTTCTATCTTTGATTAGTTAGATGTTACAGACTTTGCTGACAACTGACAGACAGCTACAGACAGACTAGACTCTTTGCTGTAAGGCGATCTGTATTAGACTAATCTAAAAATAGATGTGATATATCATGTAGGACCTGACATTAGTTGTGACTATATCACCTAATTGTTCCTGTTCTCTGTTCCAGCCGACCGATAATAGTTGTATATCACAGGCGGTTGTGTGTCACGCTAAGGKAGGATTYAGTGKGAGTTCTAGTTTAGATCACACACACCGTAGCTCATGAGTGAAGACATCAGTGAGGAGGAGCAAAGGCTAGTGCAACCCATTAGGACCACACGGAGAACCGCTCTTAGTCAACCTTTGACTTTCTTGGAGTTAGGTCCAGGAGAGGAGAGGAGGCTACGAAGGGAAGCTAGGGACAGGGCAGCGGCGAGGAGGAATAGGGACGCAGCAGCCAGCTTAGCAGCTGCGATGGCTACCGACTCTTCGACAACGCAGTCCACTTCCCAGTCTTCTTCGTCAGGAGCTGGACAGGGTGGATCGGGTGCAGTTAGTCAATCTATTGGCTTGCAAGTCAGCCAACAGGTTCTACTCACACCTGAGGACATAGAAATCCAAAAACCGGAAGAACTTCAGGATGAGTTACGGCGGCAGTTGGACGAAGCATCAGAGAGGAGAAGAAAAGCAATCATGAGGAAGGCCAGATTAGAGAGTAGGGTAGAGGCACTAGGCAGACTAGAGGACCTAGATGAGGCGACATTAGAGCCTACTGGACGCGTGCTGCGTAATGCTGTCCTATCTATAGCAGAAGGGCAGACAGTTCAACAGGAAAAGCCATACCCACCCATTGCTGAACCCATTGCTGAACCGTTTTTTTTTAGTGGAGGCCGATAACATCATGTCTTCCTCTTGGGCATTGTAGGGCATCCTGTCGCACTTCAGGCAGGCTACAAGGTACAAGGCCAAGAAACAGAAATTGCTGGTTAACGTCTGAAAGAATCTTGTATCTGAGCCGCATGATATGCACCTGGACGTTTTTGTGACCTTTACCGGGCTATTGGGCCTCTTTCCACTACTCGCCATCACCTTCAGGCTGCGACGGGGTTGTTCCCCCCTATGCCTAGGTAGGTGGTGTAAGGTGAAATTGAGAGAAGAATATAGCTTTTTTCTTCTTTTTTTTACTTTAAAAAGACAGAAAAATATGGTGTGGTGCATTTTCCATGTTCTAGCAGAAGATTCATTCGCATTCTGCACATTTGGTGAGTATTGGAGTGAGGCACATGGGCCTAAGACTTGCGCCGCACGGCACACGAAACGAAAGCGAAACGGGTGCGTCTGCCCACGAAAGGTGGCAAAATACACTCGTTATTATTTATAGCAAATCGATGAGCCTCCCCTTTTTCTGCAGGAAGATCCACTCGTTTCGTTTTTCGTTTCGTGTCCCGTGCCCGTGCGGCGACGCCCTAAGACTTGCGCCGCACGCTGAGGGGAATTGCAGGCGGACGAGTGTAGGGCATGCAAACAACTGGAAGTCGGCGCGTGGCAGCCATATACCAGTCGAGGCCCCTCCCGATCTCCCACTGTAGGTCGGCCTGCTTTTCCTCTACTCTATGGACCTCACCCCACCACTCACCAAATGTGCAAATTGAGAAACAAAGATAAGGAAAATCGGGAACGTATATTCTGTTCTAGCATGAGAATATACACCACCTAGGTAGTTTCGTCTCTTTCACTTTTTTTTTTTTTTTTTTTTTTGCTGTTTAACTTCAAACGGGTCCCTTTGTAGTTTGGTGCAGCAAGGCCCTGTCTCCCTTTTTCGCCTGTCAGCGGTCTGCAGGTCTTACCGCCATTTCGTTTTTTTTTTTTTTTTTAAAAGATCAATCGTCGGCAGGGCTCAAAACGCAGAACCAACGGTCTGCTTGTTGAAGTACAAGGCTGTCGAGAAAAAAAAAATCATTTCCTGTCAGTGAGCGGCGGCGGACAAGCGACACGCTGGCGATGCAATCCACGACTGCAGCGTGCGGCGCCTGCACCAGTGCGACACTGGTGCTTCATGCCGCCGCGCACACCGCCGCCGCGGGTGCGACAGTCGGGAGACATGTCGCTATTGTGGCGACTGGGTCGATTCCCCGCGTGCATACCCGTAGTTGTTCTGCAACAGGAGACAGCAGAACAGCCAGCCAAATGATACTGTCCCTATCACCACGTGGACACTCGCGATTGGCTCAATCGACTCCAACCCGTACATATCGAAGGGGATTGGGCGTTATCCCCCTCCTCCAGAGAGGAGAAGGTGCTGGAGGTGGTGGTGGTGGTGGTGGTGGTGGTGGTGGCCGTGGGGTGACGTCGTGCACGCCGCACGTGGCAAATGCAGAGAACCACATGGAAGAAGAAGAAGGCAGTGCATCAGTCAGCCGTGAGCCAATGGATGAACAGCAGTGCACGGAGCTCATCAAAGGACTTCGGGAGATTACACAATGTGTCGTTGAAAGCAACAACGAGAATGGCATTGAAACCAAGGACGCTGGCAAGGAAAACGCCTCCTCCTCCTCCTCCTCCTCTCTGCCCTCCTCAGAGTCGAACGCACCATCACTATCGACCTCATCGACATCCAACGAAAAGAGAGGGCGGGAGGAAGAAGACAATCTAGATGAGAAGGAAGAGGAGAGGAGCAGCGAGGCGGAGGAGGAGGAGAGCAGCAGGGCGATGGCAAGGACCATGGAGAGGAGTAGGAGGAGGAAGACGAGGTATGTGGGTTTCCTTCTGGATCAGTATGGAGTGCTGCATGATGGACGTCGACCATATCCGGCGGTTATGGCTGCCGTGAAGGAGATGGCGAGTCGAGGATCAAAGATGGTCGTTCTGAGTAATTCCAGCAGACGCGCCAGTTTTACAATGGAGAAACTGGCGTCGATGGGATTCGATCCCTCGCACTTCTTGGGGTCTGTTACTAGCGGGGAATTAACACACAAGTTCCTACTAGAAAGAGCGGATCCTTGGTTCGCGTCGCTTGGCCACCGTTGTGTACATATCACGTGGGCAGGGAGAGGAGCAATTCGATTAACAGGATTGGATCTGGAGATAGTAGAGGACGCTCACAATGCAGATTTCATCTTAGTACACGGGACCGAAGCAATTGCCAGAAGTAGTCGAAGAGGAGGAGGAGGAGGAGGAGGAGGGGAAGATGGAGAGGAAGGAGAAGAACGATCTCCGAGGTTGGCGGGCATGTCTGAGTTCAGAAAGGTGATGGAAGCAGGCATGGAGAAGGGGATCCCGATGATCATCGCCAATCCCGATGTGGTCACGGTGAGCGGTAGCGAGTTGTTAATGATGCCAGGGACGATTGGGAGAGAATATGAGAAAGCAGGCGGTTTTGTGAGATGGATGGGTAAGCCCGACAAAGTAATCTACGAAGCCGCCGTGCAGATGATGGGGCTCCCGAAATCGATGGTCGTGGCAGTAGGAGACTCCCTTGAGCACGATATCAAAGGCGCGGAGATGGCAGGAATTGACAGCGCGTTCGTGATGGCCGGAATTCATGCACGAGAACTGGGAGGAGAAGCAGGAGGTGGAGGAGGAGGAGCAGGAGGAGGAGGAGGAGGAGAAAGGATGATGACGAAGGCGGACGAAATCTCACCGCCATCTCCGGTGACTTTGAAGTCATTTTTCCAAAAATATGACACCTTCCCTACCTACACCATACCCCTGTTTAAGTGGTGAGCTGGGGGGAGGAGGAGGAGGAGGGGGAGGAGGAGGTTGTGTTACAACGACGGTGGAAATATAAGCTGGAAGAAATGTCAAAGCCATCGCTGGCGATCTTGAGGTCATTTTTAAAAAATTATGTTTTCCCAAAACAGACTCTATCCTCGCTTAAGGTGTGATTGTCTTCTCTCCTCCTTTGTTTGCCTTCCTTCCCCGCTTCTGCCCTCCGCCCCTTTCCACGCCCCTTCTTCCCTTCCCCTCTCTCCTTCACCTCTCCCCTCGCCTCTCTCCTTCTCCTCTCCCCTCCCCTCTCTCCTCTCTCTGCTCTTGCCGCTTTTCGGTTGTTGTCGTCAACAGAGGCTTCGTCGATGACGGAAGAAGACGATCACGTGGGATTGAGATTGGTACATCAGCTGCAGCAGCAACAGCCCTCCTCTATGACTACGTCGTCGCGATCTCATCTTCGTCGTTCATGCTCTCACCACCGCCTTGTCCTCCAACGGATGGCGTAGACGCTCACCAGCTTATCATCGCCTTCCTTCACTGAACTGGAAGAACAGCTGCAGCAAGAGCCCTAATTTAATTGCATCATCCCCGTCCATTTAAGTGATGACCTTACATAATAATCATCCGAATAACAGAGCCTTCACGCCGCGTGGTTGGCGCCCGCCAAATGGTGTGGATTCCCCACGCTATTCGGTGGACTAAGTGTGAGAAGCGCAGACGATTGAGTGGATCTTTGGATCTGTGTGTGTATGCGTGAGTGGGTCCGCCCGTGAGCAAG